AAAATAACTCAAGACCGTCAACCGAGTGTGGGAACAAAACAACTCTAAATCGATGACACGGTCGAACGTGTAAATAGAAAACCTTGGACAGAAGGCACACTAGATCGAGAATACGAGCAATATCAAACTCGGTTGAAAATGCAAAGTAATGATTGAGCGTGATTTGAAACATATGATTCTTCGGTCAAAAACAAACTCGGTCATGAATAAAAAACAAATCAAAGCTTATTAACCCCTCGGCCCAAAGCTTATTAATCAAATTTTATTCTTAATCCCTCGGCCTAGTAAAGTTATCGACTTAAAGCCCTTAATCGAAACTTTTGATGACACCTCGGCTAAAGACCTTCAGACAACCTTTTGAATATGTTAAAGACCCTTCGGCCAAGAAACTTTTAAAGTCCATTGCGTAAAAACTTTGTTAAAAACAATGATCACGAAATTTTATATATTAATAGTCCTCGGCCAAAAAATTGATTACGAAATTTTATATATGCTCCTCGACCAAAAAACTTGATTACAAAGTTTTATATATTAAATAGTTGGTGGCCAAAAAATTGTCAAGGCCACCCCTCAGTTAAAAACTTACCAAGTTCCCTTGTGATAATCATGACTCCTCGGCCAAAAGCTTATTAATCAATTTTTATTCTCATTTATGTATTCAACAATAAATTAAGCTCCACTTGAAAGCACACTTAGTCACTTTAGCCTTCGATGTCTCAGCCTTACTTAACTTCTCTTGAAAATTTCTTACTAATTAGCCATGCAGTTTCGTGCGCTCAACCTTAAGCTTGTCAAGTTCGGCAGAAAACTCTTCATTTTTGTTGAGATCTAAGGCAAGAGCAACTTCCAAATTCTTCAAGCTGGGGCGAAGCTTGTCCGTCTCAATGATCGGTTCCATGAAGAGGTTTGAGCTATTGCCATGGAACGACCCATCAACTCACACAAGAGAGACCACTTTGTCAACGAGTTCTCTTGAGACAAAAAGTTACGAACTTCCGGGGAAATGAACCTTGGCCGAAAACTTCACGAGTATTGATCGTCGGCTTCAAAAAACTGCTCAAAGCCAAAGGAGGTGGCAAGGTGCATGGACCAATAAAGGAAGGGGTCAAATGTTTTTGTTTCTTAGCCCTCATTTCAGCCTCGGCCTCGGTCTCCATGCGTTTAGTGGTTTTACGCTTAGGGCCCTTGCCCTTATCTTTTGAAGATTCTTCTTCTCAGTCCGAGGAGGGACCACATCTACCAAAGGCTCAACAGGACGAACCCCGACTGTAGGAGTAGTAGCAGCGGCCTCAGCCTTGGCACATTCTTTTTGGACTTGGCGGAAGGAAAGGACATTGGCACCAGAAGAAGCCATAATACCTACGAAAACGAAGAGACGCCTCGCATTAATGGAAAGACAACACTGTCAGAAAAGGCAACAAAATGACATACTTGCCCTCTAGGATTTCTCACACAAAGCGGCACACTTTTCTTTTAGGTTTTCTTACTTTTTATTAATTAATAATTATTAAAAAGTTTTGAAATCCTAGAGGCATGTATACCAAATAAGGGTATGAGTACCAAGTTAAATATAAGAAAAGGATCCAGGACTCCTCGATATGATTACATCGAGGAGTCCTCGGCTCATTACAATAACCTACTTAACCAGCTTATTACGGATAAGCACTAATGGATCCTCTTATGGGCCTACATATGGGCCTAGGCCCATTAAGGTTAATATAAATAAGTGTGATTAGTGATAAAGAAATGTATGTTTTCATAATTACCAATTTGATTAACATTGATATCTCTAAGACTGAGGACTGACTTAAGCATTGGAGTGCCTTTTGCAAGTACCACTCTATTTCCCTAAGATACATCATGTAAGACGAAGACCCAACAGGAGTAGCAAAATTACCAGAGTACCCTCGTATAAGTACAATGTCTATTAAAAAAATGAAAAGAAATTATATAACTTTTATTGGTATAATTTAAAATTTAAATCGAATATTTCAATTTGTGTCACACACAAAATAAATATTTATTTTATATAATTAAAATTTTAATAAATAATTTATGAATATGTACGTAATTTAAAAATAATACATCAGAGTTGTAAAATTGAGAATTTCTTTTGAAAAACAAAAATTTTTGTGTACATAATTTAAAATTTTAAACATAATTTTAAAATTCAATTCAAATTATGTTCTGTTTATTTTCTTCAACAAACACGTTTTTAGGAATTTTCTCAATCTCTCGTCTCTTTTAATTTATCTATTTTACTTTTAGTTTTAAACTCAATTTTAATATGTTAAAATTATTAGTAATTAAAAATAATTTTAGTTTACAATAAAATTATTTATCTTGAATCTAAAATATAGTAAATATATATTTAAAAATATTTATTTAATAAGATAATTTTTGAATAGCAATTTACGTGTATTTAATATATATATATATATATATATATATATATTAAAGTATTAATTTATTAAAATTTTAATAGTATAAAATAGACCTTCTACTGCACAAATTTAAAACTTTAAATTATGCAAATAAAATGTTGTGTTTTGCATTTCTTTTCTTAGTTTTTAAATAGATATAAATTGAAAAATAGAGAGTTTAAAAGAAAAATATATATAATATAAATCTAAACATGAAAGGAATCTTAAAATTTTTGTGTAATTAGCATATCAAAATTAGAAACATTTGAAACAAATGAAAACTAAAAGGTAATTAATTACCAAAAGGTAATTGCTATGTCACAATATCTGGTAAGTATAAACTAACAAAACTTTAACAATGTTAGTGTGTGAATGATTTAATTACAAGATTTTTAAATTATAAAGATATTTAATTTTAGAGTATTTTTAACAATAAGAACCTAATTACTTTTTTTTTTTTTTATAAAACCATAAGGACAACAAATTAATTTTACCTATGATGTTTTATACATTCTTGTAATTAATCAAAATCCTTTAAAGTGTTGCTTAATTATTGAAGAAAGTTACAAAGTGTTGTTTTGAAGATTAATAGTTGCGTGATTAAAAATGCTAATAACATAAAAATAGTGATGAAAGTTTATTTATATGAACTTGATGAAGGAGGAGCGCCAAATATAAATGAAGAAAATAAAAATGAAGGATCAAAATCAAATGAAGAGCACATATGTATGATGCAAATTTTTTTTAAAGAAGATTGATGTTTATGAGGAAAATGAAGATGATGAAGAATCATCTTCTAAGATCTATCAAATGTTCATTGTTTTATGGCACTTACAAGGAACAAATAAGCTGAATTTGATGAACAAAAAAGAATAAATGGATCGAGAAAGAAACTCAAGTCAAATATTAAGGTGATCTCACTTAAGAAAGATATTGATAAAAATTATATACAGAATAAAAGAAAGAAATCAAACATTTAGATGTATATTGAAATTCAAATTAGATGTTCAAAGATATTAAGACAATAAGAAGTGGTAAGTATATTTCTTAATATCTTTAGTCTTAAAAAGAAGGAATTTATCAGAAAATATGTTGTTAATTATTTATCTTTCACATAATTATATTTAAAAGTATTAATAATTTATTTTGATTATTTTAAGATTTATTTCCTCTTTTTTATAATATGATGTTATCAATATTTGAATTTTTATATTACAATAGTTGTATAATTTCTTAGTGCAATTATGAGCAATGTGACAAATTGTTTGTAAGAAAAGCACTAAACACACTTCTTGACTTTGGTCAGACTAGAGCTGAATAGGCAACTGTGACAACTTAGAAGCACTATAGTCATGTGACATGCTGCTTTGAGTGAGTAGATGATTCTCCTCTACAAGTTCACCAACACAAACCTCTAAAGAAGGAACATTTATGCGATTCAATAAAGTAGCCTGAGCAACTTCAAATTCAAGGCAAAGTTTCATTAGAAATTGATCATGTTTGCTAATTTCATAAATTGATTGAATAACAGCAAGCGAATGTGTAGGATCATCATAATGTTCATCTCATAAATTAAGAAAACCTATATATATATATGGTCTTGAACGAACATACAACCTTGTTGATATATTTGCAATATTGAGTTCGAGTTGAAAACGTCTCGCTACATTATTTTTGTTGTAAATTGTCTTCAGGTAATTCCATATATCTTGAACAATATCGGAGAAGGATCACAAATTATTAATCATTTGATGTTTAATGTGTTGGGATATAAATAATGTCTTACATTGTTAAAATAAGAAGAGAAATAAAAATTTATAAAATACATACATATTTCATTGGCTATAGATCTTTTAGATGATGACTAAAATCAATTTTATAAAAGTTTTGACCTAAAGTAGATAATGTCAATACTATTGTGGAATTATTTGTGTAAATACTCAAAATATCCTAAATAACAAATAAAAATAATGATATATATTATAACTCTTCTCTTGATAAAAATATCATCTCAAATAAGAATGAAAACATAATTCTAATAGTAGTATCACAATAACTAGTTGGTTAAACATAATTCTAAGATAAATACGATAAAATAACTCCACAAATAAGATAAAATAACCCCAACAAATAGAAATGAGACTCACGAACTGGGAACAAGAACCACCAACTAAAAATAAAACCCACAAATTAGAAAAAGGGTCAGAACACATGAACTAGACAAAAGACCAAAAGAGCCAAGAAAAAGAGCGACCAAAGAGGTAACGCCGAAGGAATCACAAGTCTAGTCGGAGACTTTTTGATACCATGTCAAAATCTTGTTTTGCTGTTGTCATTCATCATAATGTCTTGTTTAAATATTACATATAGACTTACAACCATAAATGACAATAATGACACCATTATTCTAATTCCTATAATTAGACGATCTAATTATATATATACATTGTATTATGTATACACAGATTATATACATCATAAAAAAGGAATTAGATTGACAAGTTCCTCTATTAACAAGTCCATGAATTAATAAAACAACAAACTTCTTTTACAGGTTAAATATGAAGAACGTATTGCTTTCAAACATTTGTAATAGAAAGTATAAATCACAAAGAGAGTACAAATGAAGCATTTTATATATTTTTTAGTTTTAGTCTGAACTCTGATTTACATAGAACATGAAGTTTACTAATTACTAGACACATAACAAAATTGCCTATTCCTTGTATTTGATTCAAGGGATGGGATGTATAACAACCTTCCCAGTGGCTCGGTTTGTTTCAAGGTAAGAGAAGGCTTCATCAAGCTGGTCAAAGGAGAATGGACCTTTGGGGTCTACAATTGGCTTCACCTTTCCACTCTCTAAGTAAGGGTTTAGTTTCCTCAGAACAGCTCCATTGGAAGTAACTACAAATCTGAAGCCAGGTGGTGTAACAGCACCTGTGAGTGCCACCACACTACCACCTTCTTTCACAACCTTCACTGCCCTGTCACATTGCCCTGCAAGGAATGAAACATTATCAACAATGAGTTATGTAAGTTAGTGTAGGGGGGAGTGGGATTATGGGGGAAAATATTGTGGATTTTCCCTTATGGAGTATATTATTTCATTGAATTTCATAATAGTATGATGTACAAGTTGTTAGACAGCTGTGGGCAGCTGTGGCAGGCGGCCAGCACCGAAATACTTTCGGTGATTTTTTTGAATTTTTAATTAGCGGCGGGTCCCACATGATAATAAAATAATATTAAAAGTTTAGGAGAAATTACGAAAATGCCATTGGGACTTTCCTATAAATAGGGAAGCTGAAAATCATAATTTTCATCCCAAATCTTCTTCTCTTCTCTCTTCCTCTCTTATACACCTTGAGATCTGTTCTCGGTAGTAGTAGTCTCCTAATTCAAAGGAGTAAGTTATAGAGAGAGAAGTGTTGTAATTTCCTCCCTTTCAGTAAATAATATTTTTACTGTGGTTATTTTCTCCCTTGTCTCTTTTT